TTATTTATTTATTTTCTTTTCTTTTCTTTTCTTTTCTTTTCTTTTCTTTTCTTTTATTTTATTTATATCCTGCCTATCTGGTCAACTAAGGAATTATGTTTTCCCCATTTCAGTAAGCTTCTAGATCTTACAAACAGCCAGCTAAGCAGTTTGCTTTACAATAAATTAACAATACTTTGTACTAGGCAATACTTCGGTGGGGGTCAAATCCATAGCTAACCTCTATTTCAAAAGCCAGCTATTGTCAGAGGAATTTATGATGACTCCAAATACAAGTCTTACTTAAAAGAAATGTAAGCAATTCCATTGATTTTTCTGCATTGCTAGTACTATATTTAACTCAAATGCAAAAGACCTGTATCATACAGAAAAGTATTGAACAATGTATGCACCAAAATGTCAGCTGAATTTGCAGTGGTAGAAGAGATTAAAAAGCCAATGAAACAATACATTACGTGAGAACAACAACATGTTCAGGGAAAAAAATTAACCCCTCAAATGTGTGGATTAGCCTTTCAAAACTGACTTTTAATCAGTTCTATAATAGTATGTTCCAATACTCAGAAAACCAACTCACAAATGACAATTTTCTGTTTCACAAAAGGGAACACATTATTTCATGTTAATGTCTGGCACTTGTGCTAAACTATTTATGCAAGTGGGTTATTTGCACAAGCACTTTGCTAGCTCTCAAAACTGAAGCTATTCAGACCTCATGCAGAACCTTTGTTTGGTGTTAATGAGATTTGAGCTCTCACTTTCCTTCGCCTCATTCTTGTTCCCTTTGAGCACCAAGAGTAGAAATATTTGGTCCCATTTTGTAGCAGATGGTGAGTTTGCCGCAAACTCAGGAGTGGAGATTTCTAGTCTTGACACATGGGGGCAGAAGAGAAGGACTGAGTTCATATTCAAAATGTCAATTACATATTGCTGTCACAATCTTGTGAGACTCTCAAATCTCAGAAGAACATAGGACATTGCGTTCCTAAGAGTGGTTCAGATCCAAAGGAGACAATGTAAGGACATTTACGCTGTCATCTCAAGCAGCAACTTTTTTTTTTTTTTTTTTTTGCAATTTTTGCAAAGATGGCTCAAGAGTACTTTTAGTCTTGTGGTATCAGAGAAGGCTGAATATTTCAGTAGCCATTTTTGGAGGAATCACTCTCCGGCTGTTGCATATTTCAGACAGTAAAAGAAGGTATGGAATGGTGGATGAATATTACTGTTAAGGTTAGGACTTCCTAGCTAACTCATATGCCTGCTAGTTTCCCACCACATCTACCGTATTTTTCCCAATATAGACATCCCAAAGCATAAGACCCCCACTTTTCTAACCCAAAATTAGAAAATTTGCTCGCTGCTTTTTCCCTCCTTTTGCTAAGCTCCGTGGGGCTTAGGGAGTGGTGGGGAAAGAAGTGATCAAAGCATGGCAGGATCACTTTGATCTCTTCCCCCCTCCACTTGTTTTTGTTCTTTCCTCCCCTTACTTCTGTGTATAAGATGACCCTCAATTTTTAGGCTAAAATTTTAGACAAAAGTACCGTATTTGCCAGCGCACAAGGCGACCGGCTGTATAAGACGACCCCCCCAACAGGAGGAGGAGGAAGAGGGGAAACGGGGGGTGGCGGGCGAGCAAGCGTGCGGCTGGCTCAGCGGGGCGGGGCAGCCCCGCGGAGGCTCAGGCATGGCAGCGAGAGGGCGAGGAAGAGCAAGAGGCTGAGGAGGAGGAGGAGGAGGAAAAGGGAAACGGGCAGGGGGCGGGCGAGCGAGCGCGCTGGCTAGGCAGCGAGAGGGAGAGGAAGAAGGCAAGAGGCTGAGGAAGAGGAAAAGGGAAATGGGCGGGCGAGTGAGCTGGCTAGGCAGCGAGAGGGAGAGGAAGAAGGCAAGAGGCTGAGGAGGAGGAGGAGGAAAAGGGAAACGGGCAGGGGGCGGGCGAGCGAGCGCACTGGCTAGGCATCGAGAGGGAGAGGAAGGCAAGAGGCTGAGGAAGAGGAGGAGGCCTGGCAGCGGGCTCTGGCCACTCAGGCATGGCAGGCTGTGCTTCCCTCCCTCCATACAGACCGACTGCCTGCCTGCCTGCCCGCCCGCCTTCCTCCCCAGCCAGCGCAGCCCCGTGTCATTCAGTGCACCCGGCGTACAAGATGACCCCTCCACTTGGAAACATGTTTTTTGGGCCCAAAAGTCATCTTGTACACCAGCAAATATGGTATAGCCTTATACAGTACATGGAAAATATGGTATCTGTCTATCTGAAAATCAGACATGGGGAAATTGTTGGAAAACCTCTACTACTTTCTCTTGTCATGCAAGAGGCACAAAAGGTGTGACCCTCTGAATGTTATTGGATTCCAATGCCCATCAGCCATCATAGTGAGAGATGGGAACTGCAGTCCAACCACAACAGGAAGGCTGTGTCTTCAGGCATAGGGCGTAAAAAGGATGAAATATTTTCCTTTACACCATGCCAAAGATGGGGAAACCTAGCCTGGGTTATCTGGTTCTGCTGCAGAGATTACCCTCTACTTCGCAAGATACTGGCTGGGCTTTTTATTGATATGAACTCAAATAACCTGCAATAAGATTTGATGTGAGGATAAGGTAAGAAAAGAGGGGAAATTATTCTGCTGCTTTTTTTAATAGCCTGACTTCTTTTTTGAGTAGGTGTAGTGGAACCAATATAGAAAAGAGCACTCAATGTCAAGCTATAAATAGCTCCTGCTGAGAACATAATAGCTTTGCCTCAGCCGTCATAGAGCAAAAGGCAATAAACCAATGCTATTAAATTTTACCATTCAGGAACATGCACATTGAAAGTACACTACCTAAAAAAGGAGTGGTTCTTATTTCTATAACAAATGCAATAACAGAAACATGTTTAGAATGTTTAAAGAATCATATTGTGTTGATAGAGCAGAACTACGGTTTCAGTGGAGAACTGTTTTTTTGACTGAAATGATGAAATAGTGAACATTTTATACACTACAGAATTCATTATGGTATTATATAAAATAAGATTGCTTTTTAAAGGAAGACTTAATTCACTGAAAATACCTATCAAACAATGCAATTCAAAGCAATGCCTAATATTCCCCAATATTTATTTACTGTCATGCAAATTTATATCAAAATTTGCAAAAAATGTACACTTAAAGTGTGTATCTTTTTTAGAACAAAGATGATGCAATGAAGTTGGTTCTGTCTTTAAATGATCACGAACCCTTTCCAGAGAGCATCATCACGATCTTCCCATTTTCCAATACCCACCATACACTACTAGGACCTTTTTCAAAAAACTATGGCATGGTTTCTGCTTCTCTGTACATCAGGATGGGCAACATGTGCCTCCCATACACCCCCAGGGTCTCACACCATCTCTACATCTTACAATTTTTTAAAACAAAATTCAGGGAGAAAAAATTCCCTGAACTCCCCTTATGCCCCTAGAGGGTGTGGGAAGATATTTTTGCAATTCTGAAACCCCTCCCACACACCTACCACTCCAGATTGTACATCTAAATAATTATGCGCCTGCTAGAGGGCAAAAGGGAGCTTTTTCAGTTTTAAAAATCGTAAGAAAATGGCCAACATTAAAGATTTTATTAAAGGGCTGGGGTTTTGGAAAGAAATTTAGGGGGATAATGGACCAATTAGATGCGGAGATACCTCTGTAGTAATAGTTAATGGTGGGATGACAGAACATATAGCTCTAGGCCGAGGCACTAGACAAGGTTGCCCTCTTTCTCCAGTTGTTTTGTTTGATTATTGAAATGTTAGCAAATGTAATAAGGAATGATGATTTAGCTGAAGGTATGGGGGAAATAATAAAAAAGATTAATTTATTCGCTGATGATTCCTTATTGACAGTGAAAAATCTGTTAGAAAGTATAGATAGAATTAAAATTCATTTGGAAAAAATTGGAAAAATAACTGAAATAATGTTGTTTAATCATAATAAATCAGAACAAGATTTGTTGAGAAACATGATTTTAAGATATGTAAATCAGTTAAATACTTAGGTATAGATTTAGTAAAAATATTCAAAAAATGAAGGAATATAATTATAATAAATTAAAGGAATTAATTAAAAAGAAA